GGAAAGCTCTAGTCATAGCCTGTCTTTAAAACACATCTAGATGTGTATAAGAGACAGACAATAAATATTGAGAGATTTCCAATAATTTTGGCCATTGTAGCGGCTAATGTAGCGCGCTACATTTTACTGTAGCGGTAGCGGTAGCGCCCGTTACAATCTAACGGGTGTAGCGGTAGCGGTAGTGCCCGCTACATTTAGAGCATGTAGCGGTAGCGGTAGCGGCGCTACATTTCCAAGTAGCGCTGCCCAGCTCTGCTAGTATGGACTATGGAGTATGGACTATGATTCAAATGTTATTTTTTCATACTACAGAATTCAACAGAAATAATGAAAACTATATACTCAAATAGCTCAATAATCGATATTCAATATTTGAGTCAAACTGTCAAATATTATCAAGGACAAGGAGGATTGTAACATCATTATGATTTCATTATTCCTATGGGCTATGGCTATGATTAGGTAGCTATTCCTGCCTTAATTATAATACCTTATACCTAGATGCCTGCAGTCATGCACTGCACCACACAGTGCACTCGCTGGCCGCTGCAGTCTGCACTGTGCACATACCTAGCTATCTCTCAACTTCTCAAGTCTCAACACAACACACTTAACGTGCAAACTTAGCAAACAAACTTGTAAAATTTGGCCCTATCCTATCTGGATAAGACTGGATGATTGAAATTATTGAATCCCTACTTGTAAAATTTCTGGGGTGAATACTGGCAAATGGCAATGTGGCAAGCTCTGTTCAGCTTCTACCATGAGTCAACTTGTATTTTAATTGATGTTACATTATTGGCACTGTCACAGTGCCACTTGGGTTGCCGTCATGCCGTAGCTCAAGATAGCTGCATAGCATTTATGTGGCCAGCCTTCAATAGAAAAGATCCATTTTATCAAACAAACTGAAGTGCATTTATCTATTAAGATATTATGATCTTTCTCAGATTGGTTGTTGACCAAACTCCAAACTCATGTTTTTTTAACAGACGGCTAAAGGGCCATGGTGCCACCTTGCGTGATTTCATTTATCTTTTTCAATCCCTTTAAAATAGAACATTCACATCCATTTACCTATTTCACCTTACTAGTTCTATGCTGCCTATTTAACCTCATAATCTTTGGGTCAATATGAGTGAGTTTATGACCCACATTTCCAACCATATATATAGTCAAAATGACAAGAAGCTACCATTGTATCCCAGAAATAAAGACAACAAGAGGGTTAAACTTTGACCTGTGCCTAGTTGCCTAGAGCATAGTGGCAAAGCAGCAATTTTTTTTTTTACTTTTCAGCTTTTCCTCAAGTTCATTTTTGAGTCCTACAAGTGGACTAGAAAGTATCTTGGATACGTACCAGCATTTTCATACATAAGAAATTGATTAAAATATTGAGTAGATGAGGAAATTAAAAATGAACTGATTCTAAAAAATCTCTGGTTTGCTACTATCGCCTAGAGGCTAGAGATATTAGATAAATACACCCGTGACCCATGCAGAGGAAATCACATTATCACAATATAAAGAAATGTTGATATTCCCAAGTTTTTTGGTCACCCTTGCAGAACATTTTCACATCAGCAGTTTTTTTAAAAATTCCTTCAAAATTCCACTCTGAGGTTATCATTTTATCTCTGTTTAATTTTAAAATGGCTTGTGTTAGCAAGTTGCATTATCAAATTTATAGTGAGTGCTTTGTAAACCAGTGAAATGCATTTATACGTACTTCATTGAAGTGATTTTTGTTTTATTATTTTTTTTACTGTGAGGAATGGCTTTTTGGCTTCAACATTTACATATCAGATCTACCAGTACTAAGAAAAGATTTAGCCAATTACCGGTACTAAAAATTACTAGAAAGAAAATATTTCAGAAAGTAAAGCAAAAATGACAATGTAAACAAATCCAGCTTTCTACTGCTCTACCAAATAAATTGTCTGCCTGCTGACAAATTCAATTATATATTCATTATGCAACTAATTTTCTTTGACTCCCAACTAGGTACTTACTCCTAGAGGAGTATACTAGGACTCCAAGATCCTCCTTTCTACACCTCTATGCTAGACGAAACAATAGTTTTCCACCTGTAAATTTGCATTATAAATGGTTCTATTTCTAAGTTAAATAAGTTGAATTGTTAGAAATATACTTTTTCTATTTAGGACCATGTTACTTGAGTCCATAATAGCATTATCAATTAATATAATTTCTCATATCTCTAAATATACTTTATATTTTTCCAGAATTTGATAAATTGATGCAGTTATTAATGTTCTTTTTATCAAGTAAAGGTTGTACAAAGCTAATTTTTTATCAAAATTATGGTCATAAATTATTTATATTATATAACTGATCTTGTTTGAGATGTGATGTTGTCAAATACATCAAAATATTGGCACCATTATATGTGTCTTGCTGTTGATGTATTTTAAGTCTCATTTCCCTTACTCAATTACCATACAATGGCCAATTTTACCTGCCATAAATCTATGACCTCTAAACCTGAGGGAGCAATGACAACAAATAAAATATCAGTTTTGACCAGTTTACACAAATGTGATGATCACATATCATCATTGAAAACCCTGATACAGAAGAATTTGAGGGAAATGGTAAGTTCTCATCATTTTACGTGATGACAATTAGATTGACATTTTAATGCTCACTAAGATTTGTGATTTGTATGAAACAAGACTTGTTATTTAATCAAATATAATACCTCCACCACCAGTATTATGATCAATTAAAAATTAGCAATTATGATTAATTATATGCATATTCCCTATTTCAGAGTATTCTGCAAGAAAAAAAGAAAAAATTTGAAGAGAGTAGAGAAAAGTTGTGTGAACAGCAACCCAAGCTTCAGGAACAACTGCAGAAAACAATTGAAGCAATTGCAAAATCTGAAACGGAATGTTTCAACCTGAAGAAAAAGGTATGTTGCAGCAATAACACTCATTTCAACTTGTCACTAACACTCATTTCAACTCGTCACAGTGTACAAGATGATTGAAATCTCATTTTTCTCGATTAATATCAAATTTATCATTACTACTGATTGCATTTTAACCCGTGAATACTGTATGACTACATATTTTATGTTACAGCTGCCTTACTTGAGCCGTGAAGCTATTTTGGACAATATTAAGCATTTGGAGTTGCAGCTGAGACTTCACAACTACCGTCCTCGCGAGGAAGAATTAATGTTGAAGGAAATAACAAAATTGCAGGACTCTGTGCCTCTTTTGGAGGAGTACAGAACTTGTGTACAGCAAAACAGGAAACACCGCAATGACAGGGTGAAGCTTGTGAGCCAACGCAATGCTGGCTATGACACGCTGCAAACCCTCCTGCCCAAGATTGATGCTTTGGCTGTCCTATTGGCAAAAGAACAAATCAGCCTACAGGAGAATAGATCCGGTTTGTTTTTGGTTTGTTATTAACGAACTATTAACGAAGGTAGTATTCTAAAGTTGAAATTGTTGGAATTATGACAGGATCGTTGCGTGTAATTAATGTAACCAATATTGATCACTTTATTTCAGGTTTAGAAGAGGTTCAGAAACACAAATTGAGTCTCCTTGAGGTGGCCCAAAGACAACTTGAGAAACGAGAGCGACGTAAAGCTGATGCAGAACGTAGGAAGTCGAAGAAGCCAGCATTGAAGCCTGCATCAGCTGATCCTGAACCTTTGCCGGTCACTCCTAGAAGGTAGGACCAGCTGCTCGAGCGAGCTGAATTTCATCAAACTTGATCAACTTTTTCTTTATAATCGTTATCACAATAAATTTTCAATACACTTTGCCTGTTTTATGTGTAGTATATAGAAAATTTGCCTTAATTTTGATCCCTAACTCAAAAGGTTTCCTTGAAACAAACCCTTGCTAAAATTTCAGACTGGTGGCCATTGAACGAGACGTGTATGGACCACAGCTGGATGCATGCCATCGGCTGCTTCCATATTGCCGCTCCCTTGTACCTCCTTCATTGACGAGTGATCTAGCACCTGATCATCCCTCTCTAAGCAGTCAATGTAAGGAAACAAAGCTCCCCAGTCACTCCAGCAATTTTTCATCATCTCAAGAAGATGGTAAATTTTACTCTAAGCCCCAAGAAATAGAAGAATTTGCTTCTACACGACCCAAGTCTTTGCAACACTTGAAGAAAAGAGCGCGCAATAAGAACAAAATGAATATCAAACATCCTCCAGACGTTATTGGTCTTTTCATGGACCTTGGAATAAATGTGCCCAGGTATACAGTCGACATTCCAGCTGTGCTGGTTGATATAGAGCAGAAATTGAACTATTTTGAATTGCTAAATGAGCAATTATATTTGAATGCTGTAAAAGCAGCTAAAGCACATGGTGATGAAGTAGATATTGTTCATGTAATATCGAATAAAAATCAAATTCCCAAGAAAAAGAACAAGCACTTCGTGTCTGGTTTTATGCAAAACGAGGAGATTGGTGGACAGAATGACAATACAGATGGCTTCAGGTCTCATAAAACATACAATATATATGAGAGTGATTTGGAAATCGATCCCTTAGAAGCAAAGTCTCCTATGAGGCTATATTCCTCAGTAGCCAAAACGCCTTTGACACCCATGATGAAAAGCAGTGATTCAGAATTTGAAGGCGGCCAAAAATCTGATGTCCAAGACAGTGATTCCAATACAATTCAAGCTGAAACATTAAAGCCTTCTTCTACAACCGATCAAATTGCTAGTTGTTTGGAATCCCCTCAAGATTTTGTAACCAATCATTCTGATGAAAATGGCACGAGAATCAAGGAAAATTTCTGCATAGTTCCCACTATTGATTTACCCCAAGACGGCATTGCAGATCATCCAGAACTTGAGGGTCAAGCCCTACCTTCAGCTGTAGCTTGTGTATCAAAATCGACTGAACGTAGAACAATTACAGAAGAAGATTGTGAAAGTGGTGTGTTTGAGAACGAACCTAAGTGTAAACCAAATTCTTCCAAGATTTCTCATAACGAACAAGACAAGCTATCCTCAGATCCAAATGGATTTCAGAAATCTGAAAACAAGACAAGTGGTACTCGAGCTTGTGAAATTATAAATGAAAATTATATTGATTTCCCTAATATAGTGGTGGATCAAGTGGTTGTGAGCCCTGCTGAGCATTTCGTCCCAATTGACCAATCATGCAGCAGCGTCAGCAGCTCGTCCAGCGGCTGCTCATGTGCTGGTAGTTCGAGCAGCGCCTCCACTAAAAGCCTCAGTCCCGCCTTCACTGCACCAAGAGATCTGTCATTAAATACAGACCCAATTGAGAAACAACTTCCACTCACAAGTGATCACTTATTACTTGGTTATGATAGTATTGGAGTGTGTCATGCCAGTAGCTCCCTTCAAGTAGGAGATACTGAAGCATTGAAAATGCATCAGCTACAAAGTAAACCCCGTCCAACGTCTTTGGATCTTTCGTCTTCGCATAACTCTGTCCATTGTAACCGTGAGCGAATATCTATTTCATCCAGCTCAAAATTAGGCCAATCCACTATTTTACCAAAGAATTTGAAGTCCCCAAGCAATAATAGAAATGTTGACAACAAGAACTCTGATACCGTTTCTACGAAGGAAACTGAAGCTATGTCCGGGTTTTGTGCTCTCTCTCCTCTCCAGGCAGCTGCAATTGGCAGCGTTAGCACCAATTCTTCTGCTTCGTACGCGTCCATCACCAGCAAAAATTTCTGAAATTATGCAAGTGTTATGTACGAATTCTTAGAAATCTTTCAATTGCCAAGGTCACAAAAGTGTGATTTTTATGCTAAGTATACGTAAAAAATGTCAAGTCAGCTGTTAATCACTGACATAACACAATAAGTTTAGCAGTCATGGAAGGTACCTGTATCTTCTCTAATGTGATATGAATCGCATACGCTGAAACTGTTACAGTAATTGAAAGTAATTTATTATGTTATCCACTTTCCTTAGATCTTTATTACCTCTAGACTACTGAACGAAGAGAGCTGGCTACTTCTTTGAAGTATTATTTGATATATATTTACGCAAATAAAAATTTTTCATGCTTCTGTGACATGTACATTCTCATTCAATTTTTGGATAAGCTTAAAACGCGATTCGGTGAATCTGTGAAATTACATCCTATCTTAATAACTGAAATTCACTGCTATTGTGCTTTATTTCGGAAATATTTTACCAGCTATTATGCTTTCACTTCCCACTATCGCGTTTGGCATCCTGCGAGCGACCTCAAATCTTACGATTTATGATCTGATCTCTGATTCCCCGAGAATTCCTCATTGTTAAGTTTAATGCTAATGATATAGGCATGTAGCACTGTGGTCTGATTCTCGAAGCGTAATTCAATGGCTTAATTTGCTCATCAACCGATCGTATTCTCTACTACTCGTACGTTGCTAAATGTTTGCAAATTATTTTATTACTCCGTGGGTAAATTTTGCAAGTGTTTGTGACTAATTCTTCTAGTCAGCTGTTACGACAGCATTTTATCTCAAGTGTTCTTCAAATAATGTGCTCTTACCATTGCCAATAGACACTTGTTTTTAATAAATGTGTATGATTATATTTATAGCCGGTATTGTTTTACTGATTTGACTCGTGGTTACTCGTTATTATTACGAGATATTCGTGATTACATTCAGACTTAGTATATTTGTTAACTGGGGGTTTCTGTCAACGTTATGCTAACAATAATACTGAATTATTCTGTTTTCTGTTATTATTTTCGATAAATAGCATTGTTTTATCGGATGTTGAGAAACACTCTTTACTTTGCAGGACAACTAACATTTACGACGTACACAAGATTATAAATAATTCATTGCGTTATTTTTCGCTCAGTTTACTTTATTCGTGTCCACTAATCACCATCGTTAGTGCTGACTTGCTTCGAGCGCTGTTTTATCCGCGTTTTCTTAACACCAAAGTTTTGCAGAGAAATGTCCTTAATTAATGTATGAATTTCTACGCGATTATGTTGTCCTAAAGCATTTTTAAATGTTAGTTATTTTGTTAATTGTCATCTCATTTCAAATGTTTTAATCGCCAAGAATTTTTGTGAATTGTTTGTCAAAAATGCCAATAGCAAATGATCCTAATGATGGGGGCTCTTTCCTGCCATTCAATTCAGCAAAATTATTCCATATTTGTTCCATTAATTTAAGGCATGATGACTGTTGAGTGCGCGAGCAATCGGGGTTCCAGCGGCAGATTCAAGAAGACACGTGTGCTTTGAGTTAACTTTTTATCTAGAAATTTGTGCTCAATAATTTGTTATGTGCCTGTGGAGATGAAGAAAATACTGCATATTGATTGCTCATTGTCAGATCTTCAAATTAATTGATATCCTATTTCGTTACGAACGACTTATAACTTTTGAAGTTACTGGAAAATTTTCTACCTTTAAGGCAATGAAATCATGTTAGAAACTTGAGCCTTGTAATTGTACCTTCACCGCTCAGCTCTCTTTCCTTCTGTGCCTTTATATTGCAGGACGATCTCGCTTGTCATCGCATAGTCTGTGATATTCTGATTCTGATAGCTTTTCGAATTGCCAGATTCTCTTGAAATTTTGAAGAACGTCATCCGCAAAGCATAATAACAAATGAAGATCTTTTCAATTCATCTTGCTGCCATATTGTTTAGATATTTGATTAGTTTGTACTAATTACTTGCCACGTCTGATTTTCATGTCGATTGCACATAATTGGAATTCATATCGTGTAGCTTGTGAAATTATTGTCAGAATGTGGAAATGAATAGTGATATCAAATTAATTTTTGTTAGCCACGTAAATTTACTTCATGATATCTGTTCCTGATTTTTAACTTTGTGAAGTAATTTCTAAATTTTTACTTTGTTAATACCACACTATTAAAAAGACTATTTATAACAATAATGATATAAGTGCAAAGGATTGAATGCTCTGTTGAACTTGTATCAATGCTTTATTCATCTCTCAGGCTATTTGTCCCCGAACGCAGAGAAATTCAAACAAAGTGTTTAAACCTTCATGTTTATTGTGGTACATTTAGTGTTATCTCCGTAGCTCTCTAACTTCCATGTCGAATGATCTGAAATTCTGAACAAATTCCCAAACAGGATCCGTCTCACAAACTATTGTCTCATAGAACTCGTCAACTGTCACAAGTCGCATCCTTTCAGTTCCTTTGAGGCTTCGGTTCATCTCTGTCATAAAATGTGTTTATTAATGAATACCAAGCATATCTTTGATCGTAAACAGTATTCATGGAATCCCTCCATAAAATAAATCTTGCAGCCATAAAACCCAGACCGTAAGTATTGTTATTAATACATATATATTTATGATCAACGCTGTTTTATTAACCACAAGAAAAAACGTTTTGCTCAAATTTTCTCGCTAAGTCGATGGTGCTAGTTGCTAAATAGCGTTTAAATTTGAATTTTATTGAAAATGTGGCACATTTTGCTTTACAGGATCGCTCACTTTGTCTGCTGATGTGACACATGAGGTTGTTGATAATGGCCAATGCCTATCCACATTTTATTCTATTTCAAAATTTTCTGCACCAAAATTTATTTTAATATGAATAGCCCAAGTATTGAAAGGTTTACTAATTTGCTATGATAAAAATTTAACTTAACAAAATCAGATTAGTATTAAGGAAAACAAAGTGGTATATATAACCCACTCACACTGAACCAATTAATCTAACTAAACTTGAAGACACAGAAAAAGTGTCACAAGTGAAAACATTAAAGCCAATAGTTTTAAATCTTTCCTCATCGAGAAAGCTTTGTTTACAAGAGGCAATGATGTCACTATGTCTTTTTCTTGGTTACTAGTATTCGAATCATCGTCTGCGCCTGAATTCTCTGGGGAAATGCTCGGAAGTTCAGTCGATTCGACGTATTCTGCCGACGAAACGTTTGAACGTCTCAGGAAATCTGGCCACTCGAATTGAGACAAGTCAATTGTTTCACCGAAGTTCTGGAGATGACTACGTTTCCAAGGCCGTAGAATTTCCTCAGCTTTTTCTTGAATACGGACCGTCCCCGTTTCTGAAGAACTTGTCAGCGTAGGGAGAAATAGGTCTTCGGGTTCGTATATGAACTCGTTGATGACCGTTGCATTTTCAAATAAATCTGAAGACCGAAGAGCTTGCGGGATTAATTGGTCGTCTGCATTGGGCGCTGTGACAGTCGTTTTTTCCTCGCTGATTATGACTGGAGGTGAGTGCGTAGTAGTTTTTGGGAGTTTGTCGCTGCCGATTTCGTCGAAATTGCATGATTTGTGAACAGGAAACGTGTCTGGCTCAAGACATATCAAAGTTTGAAGCAGACCACAGCGCAGCCAGTGAAGTAGCGTGGATTTCTTCGGTTCAACGAGAAAGTCGAGATTACCAGTATTGCATTGTGCCTGATTGTTAGTGAAATTGAATACAGCAGAGCTTTCTGAGAAAGTGAAGTCAAACACCTTCGAAGATAGCGATGGGAAAATTTGACCGGACCACCGGTTATCTCCGAAGACATTATTTCTTAGAATTATTCGAGGGTTTGGTGCTGAGAATGAAACTTGCTGGAACGCACCGGGTGCTAAATTTAGACGACATTCGGAGAGAATCAAGTCCTTTGCATCGCCAGACACCCATCTAGAATTCACCACAGATCTTGCATCTACATTTTCTAATTCCAAAGTTGTACCAGAGGACTCGAAGTTAACAGCAGCTGTTTCGATTGGACCTGTTACATGAACGCCTATCATTTTCAAAGCAGTTAAATTTGAAGCTGTGATACTGAATGCCGGTAGTCCGCTAAGAACAACGTTTTCCCATTCCAATGATGCTCTTTTTCCAGACAACCGTATGGCTCCTCTATGGATCTTCATCATCCCTATGTTAGTCAACTTCATTTGGAACTCGTCCTCATCTCCAGACATTATTGGCATATCCATGTCAAAAGAACCTCGTTCAAAAGTTAAATTAAGTACGTTTTGGATGGTGATCGCCTTCATGTGGGACTCGCCAATGCCTGTCACGGACTGCGCAAAAGTCACCGCTCCTCCTCTGCAGTCAGAGACTTCCATTTCTTGCACAGCGGGCGGCAAGTCGGCGATACCTCGTAAACGCAGCGTCTGCAACGGAAAACAACAAAATATGAATTATGAATCGTTAGATACTTGCTCTGCTCATGTCCATTTTCATGATTTTTGTTAAACGGCTAATTTTTCATTGCGTGAGTCAAGTTGGATTGCATTAGTGTTGTAAGTAAACTAATAAATTAAATGACTATTCATATCCACATGGGACCGGTATCATCTATTTTTTGAGCAAGTTTCTTGATCTATTTTTGTTACATTGTGCTTCTCTGAATAATTTATCTACTCTTGCATTTAAAATTTTTATGAAAGCACTTAAATTTTATTCAGCTTTTTATACAGTAATGAAAGGCGGAAAAAGTAACGTAATTAATCTGAATGTCATGTTATATCGCAAAAGGCCGTTAAATGAGTACTAAATGAGTTAAACAATAATATCGATAGCTTTCTTGTACTAATGCATACTCACTTGGTCTCCATGGCAACTGCAGAGTAGCTTGTAGATAATTTCAACGCCTAAAATTCGTTTTTGCACATTCCAGTTGTTTGTAAAATTTGCTAGAGCACTGTCTTGATGTTCAGATTGATCCAAAGACGATTCTTCTGATATTATACTCTCTTTTCCTACTGAATTTATACACTGACAATTAGGCGATAAATTACTTATGATTCGCAAGCATTGCTCGCGTGCAACTCCTTCCACGATATCAGGGGATAATGTTTTGTTGGCGTCATCACCAGAGGGCGACGAACTCGAGCCTTCTTTGGTTAAGGTGGCGAAACTTGACGTTATACTTGCACTCAAGATCTGATATACCGGCAGCAAGTAGAAGACGATGAATGAAATAGCTGTATTAATTCTTAACTGATATATTCTCATTGTGATGACGATCTGGAAACACGCACTATGATTGTGTTCAGCCCAAACGATCTTCGCTGGTAGTCAGAGCGAAAAAGTTCGACACGCACCAGGCGCTTCGATCGTTTCCCGGCAGTTTTCTTCTCAACACTGAAGAGTTTATTCCTATGAACGTATGATTGTTTGAGGTCTTACTGCTGTTCTTCTTCGAATCATTGCTGCACGGAGAACTGTTTGTCAGCAATGGACCGCGCAATAGCGCACTTGTGTAAGATTTTCAGAGCTAAGATGCATGCTATAAGCTGAATGAATAATTCATTGACATCTCTGCATTCACTACAAATACTAAAACATTCATTTCATGTCTATCATTTTTGATCCTTTACGCGATCAGTATTACATTATGGTCTTCAGAAAGCTTGCAAACGGAAAAGATTACTGAACAACATTAAATAATTAATGAACAGATATATTGTTAGAAGTTCTGATCAGCTGTGAGTAGTAGATGTGAAAGAATTTCTTATGCCATTTATCTGAAAAGTTTTGGTTAAGAAGAATTGAATAATATGCAATAATTTATTATTTTTGACATTCCCGGTGCACTTAAAGCTTCCATTTATTATATGGACTGAATCATGTCTCATTTACCTGCTCCAGACGGGAGCTTCATTCCTTACGAAGTAAAATCTTACTTAAATTAAGAAGTGAAATGCAATTACAGTTTTATTCACTGAAACGCTTTCGCAATATATGCTAAGAGTACAAATGTTTGCATGGCGAATGGAAGCATGTGACGAAGCAAACGCTGCAAGAAAATCTTCAACTTCATGACAAAATGACCCTACTGTTTGTCTTAACATATTATTGTTGGCGCTGGAGAACAGGCTTTGTGTGTCCTGTTTAGCGTCTTGCTAATAAGTATTGTATTTTTGGCATAGACTACTTAATTGCAATGTTTTAAAGGAAATGAAAAATGCTTTATAACTTCTCTGTAGTATCTTGAATACTTTGTTCTAAAATTTATTTAACATTTGAATACGGTTTTTGGTAACATGGATCTGTTGTATATTACCCATAAGCATTCTTTTTCTTGGTTAACTCCAATTACCACTTTTCAGTCGTCGTTTGCTGTATGCGACTTTGAAATTAATTTTTACACTCTATATGTTAGTGGAATTATTCGTGTTCACCGTCCTGTGCTACGAACTTCTACAACAAACACATTGGGAGGAAGAGACAGCAATTAAGGCTTCATTACTAGAACACCGTTACTGGTCCCGCTATAGCCCATTGTTGTCAAGCAGTTGTCGCGAGCGTCATCCGCTCTTGACTGTAACGTACGCATATTCGATTATATATTTTATAGGTCGCGACCTAATATCATGAGCGGTAAGAAACTGGACAAATTGATTTCAAAGCAATAAAGCATTTACTGTTCTTTCCTTAGCTCGTCTAGTGTTACACGTGACGCTTTTGACGTTGTTTAAAAGCGCAGCTCAATCGAAGCCCACCTCATATTCATACGCTAATGAATTACGATCGATTCTGGTGATAATTGTAAGCTTAAGTCAATCAGAATAAGGCGTTTCTATTGCTACCTCTGAGAGTAATAATGACTTTTATTGCTTAATTAATTTGACGTACACATTTTAATACGATCTGCCCAGCAGTATATTATCCTTACAAGGATATACAAGTCGACTGTGAAGTCAGTCTTGTTGCGGTGCAGCGTACGAAGGTTGGCGTCAGCTCACGGCCCTGAGAAACGGTTGCCGAACTTAGTGATTTTATTTTATTTATTCTAGCAGTAGTGGAGATGATAGTATAAGATCATTTTAGTAGTAGAGGTGATGCTGGTACCTGATCTTTATAGTTGTGGAGAAGACGATAGGGCGTGATCATTTTTCGCACTTTTTTTAGTGTTCAATAGTCTTCAAATAGTGTTCAATAGTGTTCAATAGTGTCGTCTGCATTAGTGAAACAATGGCACGTAATCATTACGAAGATTCATTACGAATATATAGAATATATAATACACGCACATGCATGTGGGGCATAAGCTTACAATGGCCTTTCTTTATATGCTTCAAAGTTTTTTTAGTTTTGTTGCAGCCTATTTACAAACGCAGTCGATTTAACAAAATAGACTGCGATATCAAATAGTAGTAAATATATATTGTATACTTATCAATAGAGATAATTAATTAATATTTTACTACTACTACTAGTGAAATATTAATTAATATTAACTAAAATGGCAGCATGATGGAAGGGTTTCAACTTTTTCGTGGATCTTCGAAGATAATATTAATTTATTAACGTATCAGAGACTCGGAACTAACTTTTGACATTCCATAGTCGTCAAATGTGTCAGGCATAGTCATAGCTTTGGCATAGGCCTAAATCCCCCGTCTTTGCACCTGCCATTACGAAATTATACTCTGCTTACATTTCATCTAGGGTGTGAAATCGTAGTTATTATCTTACATTTTTCTACTGATAAATATCTTCTTGAAAATTAATAACTTGTAATCATATACCTAATAAAATACTTATTGTTTTAAACAAAAAAAATTAAGACGTCTTCGTGTTTAAACATCGTATGTTCATGAGTGTTTCTATGTATAATGGATGGATTCAATGAATCAATAAATCTTTCAATGATTATAAATAATATTGAATACATCCTTTTATATTTCTAACTATAATCCTCATTCCTCGTTTCTGGAACACGAGGATCAGATCATATATATATTTTTTGTTTTTTTAAAGGCCTCCCACACTCACCATTCTAACAAAAAAAAAGAATTGATATTATATATCAATTCATATATATTACAAGATGATGTCATCATAAATCAGGATGATTTCTTTAATATATATACTCGTGAGAGCGTGAATTGCATTTGCTACCGTGCATTAATTCCATATTTTTTTTTAAAAAGGCCTCCCACACTCACCATTCCAACAAAAAAAAAAGAATTGATTTTATTATTAATTCCATATTAAACATGATCGATGGCAAGAGATAAATGGAATTGATTTTATTATTAATTCCATATTAAATATGATCGATGGCAAGAGATAATTGGAATTGATTTTATTATTAATTCCATATTAAATATGATCGATGGCAAGAGATAATTGCTGTCTCTTATACACATCTAGATGTGTATAATCAAGACTGCATTACACAAAAAAGTATTGCATGTACATCTATGGTAGTAGCTTTGTTGAACGCGTCTCGTTTGTAGCTTTCAAACGAGTGCAAACACTTTGTAATTAACGAGAGTAATGATCTATATATACAGATTTAATTAAAATAAATCTTTGTACATATTGTTAAAAATGTTCATATATATTTTTAAAATTGTCTTACGCAAAAATTATAGCACGCACAGACATGCAGTAAACTGCGTTAGACGCGCCTTTTCAGCAGCTACAAAATGAGTCAAAAAAACGGTAAAGCCAAAATTTTCTATTTTTGGGGTAGCCGGACCCCTTAATAGTATTAAATATTATTTAAAACCAGCATGATACATACATAATATAAATTACAGAAGAAAACTGTACGAAAGATTTCGGTGTAATGTTGTCAACCTCAGCCTGTTACTAGTGTCAACATGTTAGTTGTTACTTGTTAAGTTGTTACCAGTTACCACTTACAGTTTTTTTTCATCTTTCAGTTTGCTTACAGTTATTTTTACCCAGTTATTTTTATGTTTCACCTTCCCTACATGGATGTCTACTTCAACCTACCAATCTCAAAAATCAACCTACCAATCTCCAATCTAAAAAAAAATTTTTTAGATTGGAAGATTAAAGTTCACATCCATGTAGGGAAGGTAAAACATAAAAATAAGTGTAACTTTTATTTACCGTATCTAACCCATACTAGTTCGGTTAGGTTAATTGTAATAAAGTTGCATTGATATGTTTATGTGTCACTGTTCATGCGTCACTGTTCATGCGTCACTGTTCCTGTGTCACTGTTCAATGTTCATGCGTCACTGTTCCTGTGTCACTGTTCATGCGTCACTGTTCATGTGTCACTGTTCCTGTGTCACTGTTCATGCGTCACTGTTCATGCGTCACTGTTCATGCGTCACTGTAAACACTGTTCATGCGTTAATATTGTATAGTATTATTCACGAGCTCATTCACAGCACAGTATACAACGGCTCCTCCTTATTAATATTATCGTCTTTATTCTACGAAGCATTCATCATGGCGTCTGGTTCAAAAGAACTTCGAAAGGCATGATATAATAATAATAATAATAATTATAATAATAATAGCGGTTTTATCGTTTATTAGGCCGTAGGCCTGTCACCAATTCTTAACATCGCAGAACATTCACAGCATTTTGCGGTCTCGAACTCGCAACTCACTGCTACAATTCTGCTGTGCTTAACCGCCCGGCCTCCTTGCCGATTCTGACCAGAAACTGACGCATAACCACTGGCCCACCCTGCATGATGCTCATAAGTTTAATAACAAGCGAAATAAATTCGCTCTTCATTAGAACAAAATACATCGCCTCACATCCACCTGCATGCTTGGTGCATGTTTCTACAATTTATTAGCTAAAAATTAATTAAGAATCATTTAAGTCTTCAGTAGTCATTTAGGTTTTTGAAATATCATGTTTTAAAGGCTTTTCACCCCCTTACATTTTGGTTGCCAGCACAAAATTTTAGTCTGCTCTAAATCAACACATTTCGATTTTTTATCCTTTTATTCAAGGCTTGTTCAACATTTATTTATCATTCATTGCTATTTCCTCTAATTCTGATTCATTTTAGCTGTTATATCTTGCTTCATCGTTGTTGTCGGTGTCGGCACACGAGTCGTCAATCGTAAAATTCGACTTTTTCCAGGCCTTCTCTTCCCCTTGAAAAAAAATCTTCCTTTTTGGAAGATTTTTTCCTGGTATTTAGGACTAACTCGTATCTTTATTGTGGACTAACTCGTATCTTTATTGTAATTCATGTTCCTTTCGGTGTCTTGACCTAAAGTCAAACATTTTTAGAAAGATCGTAGTAGTTTATTTTGTCCTTTGGCGCGTCGTATCTATTTTGTTTGTGCATTATATGCTGTCTTTTACCATGATATATCTAACCTTTAATTAAAAAGGCTTTCCTAGTTATTCTCTTGAACAATACAATTACAATTTTCAATTTATGGTTGGGTGTGATCTAAGGAGGATTTTCTGCCGACTGAGTGTCGCATAAAATACGTGTTTTCTTTACATTCATTTTTCAACAATTTCAAAATTTTCAATTTTCTGCCGATTCCAAAGATAAATTGCATATTAATTTGAATACTTATGGCAAGACTGCTCTCACAGAAAAAAATTGTAAAACAGTGGCAGTGTGTAAGCTGTTCCATATTTTAACTCTCTACCGTCTTACGTCACTGTCTGAGAATATAATCAATGAAATCAATTCAAATTTTCACTTTCTCTCCATGTCCAGATATTTTTCAACAAGTTCATTCTATGGGCGGAAAACTGCAATGAAAATACAAGAATCAGCCGTTGACAGTGATGGTCTAAGTGTTTGTGACGGAGAAGATGGAGAAGTTGTGGATCTAACTTTTCCTCCTGAACAAATTGAATTAGATATTGAAGACGAGGATCATGAAGATGAGCCCAGTGATGAATTTCCTAACGATGAAACTGTAGTTTTGGAACTTCAGGCTGATGAAAGTACCGGTTCGTCCAGAGCTACACCGACAAAGAGGCATATTTTAGCCCTGCAGTGTCACAATAAAAACGGTGGGTGCACTGAAGAACCTGAATATCAGCTGCCAACTGGGACCAAACCCTGCTGCATGCATGAAGTGCAACATCCTTACGACTATTTCAAGTCCTTCATTACTGACTCGTTTCTAGAATTGGTTGTCGAACAATCAATCCTTTACTCTGTGCAAAAAAATGTGAATGAACCTTTGGGGCTTACGAAGAATGAGCTCGAATAGTGGATTGGCCTCGTGATGTACTTTTCTATAATGAAGGTATCTGACACACGAATGCATTGGTGCCGTAAACTTCATGACTTCATGGTCGTGGCCCCCACAGTGATGAGCAGGGATAGGTTTGAATCAATTCAAACTCACGTCCATATGTGTGATAACAGTAAAATAACAAATCCATGTGATAAAATGTTCAAAGTAAAACCAATGATTGAACATCTTCGACAGAATTTTTAGAAAATTCCAATGCAGCAAGAACTAAGCATTGGTGAACAACTTGTTCCCTTCAAAGGGAGAAGCCAACTGAAGCAGTACATCAAGCAAAGAAGCAGCAGTACGCGTTCAAGAACAGACTAGACAAGGCCATGCAAGAGCATATGTTTAGTCTTAAAATGCCTCGTACCCTACGGAACAACTGATATCTAGAATCGATTTTAAATCTACCGTCCGTTGAAAAGATCTGATCAAAAGGCTAGTCTAGTCAAGAAAAGCACAAAAATCGGCGACAGGCCTATCCAGGCCTATTCTTTAATGCCGAAGATAATATACTATCCCAAATAAGCCACATAAGTGGGGATATAAGATATTTGTTCTGGCGGACTCAGAAGGAATAATACATGACTTCATCCCATACACGGGTAAGATCGAGCCAGTTGACGCCCCGAATATTCCTGACCTGAAATCAAGTGGTAACATTGTTCTTCACCTCGCCCAGGTCATTCCGTCACAAATGAATCACATCTTGTACTTCGACAACCGGTTCACCAGCCTTCCTCTCCTGGATCACCTCGCCAGCAGAGGAATATGGTCTTGTGGTACTGTTACAACTCAAACACTTTCAGGTGTAGAGAAGTGCAAACAAGTTGAGGAAGAATTGGAGATAAAGGGTAGAGGATCATATGAAGAGCTCGTTTGTAAGCAAACTAATTGCGAAATTAGTTACGTAAAATGGGACGACAACAAAATTGTCAATATTGTGTCGAACTTTGCAAGAGCTTCCCCAGTAACAACTGTCGTAAGATATGGCAAAAATCATAAAAAAGTAGCAAATGTGACGTGCCCAGACATTATCCAAAAATATAACAAATGCATGGGAGGCGTTGACCTGGCTGATCGTCTTAAGCGCTTTATAGAATCTCTCTGCGATGTAAGAAGTTCTATATGCGACTTGTATTCCATATGTTCGATATGTCAATAATAAATTCCTGGAAACTATACAAAAGAGATGCTGAACTTTTGAACCTTCAGAAAAAGGATATTCTACCTCTGGCCCACTTCAAATTATTGGGTGCTAGTGCACTAACAACGAAGGGTAAAGCAACACCAGCAAAACGTGGAAGGCCATCAATATCTGAAGGTCAGAGTTCAACCGCCAATAAGCGTCCTCGTTCTGGTCCCTCGAACATTGTCCGTTTCGACCGAATTGGTCACTTTCCTGTTTTAGAAAAAAACAGAAACAGGTGCAAAAACGACAAATGTACCGGTAAAACTAGATTTGCATGCAAGAAATGCAAGGTAAATCTTTGCATAACAGTGTCTTCTAACTGCTTCGCCGCCTACCATCGAGAGTGAACCTATCGAACTGAACTTCGTAACAACGTGAATAAAAAGGACGGTATATTTTTCAAGTCAGAGAATCTCGATACAGTACATTTTTGTATTTACCTCATTGTTTTTCCTTGCTCATTTATAAAAATCTAGTTCATATCATAATATACTACCTTATGTTTGTCTTTAAGACTGTATGTCAAGCTTCCTTATGAGTGACACGTATACTATTGCATTAATCTTGTGACTGTGGGAGCGCAGCCGTGCACCACCAATTTTGTGCACCAATAAGCCCTGAATCGAACGCCTTGGATCTCTCCGGACCTACACCAATCAGTCGTGCACCACAGTCGTGCACCACTCGGCTTTGTCCTCTTCCGGCCTTGACCACCACCTGCCGTGCACCACAAGGCCGCGGATCGAATATGACTTCCAGACATCGTTAAATTACGTAATTTTACGTTCACCGCATCTGAGGTTAGGTTTCAGATAGCATAGTTCTGTTCCAAAATTTATCGTCCTTCGACAAGTGGCCGTTCGACCGAGGGCTGGTTCGACCCACGGTCTGGATACGGACGGCTTGAAGTGTTGAAGGCTACGTTCCGGAAGGCAGGAATCATGATGGTCCATTACATCCAGGGCAGTGGTGGTCTTCGGCAGGCGACCCACTAATGTTCCCCTGTGTGACATGTTATATATTTTTCATTATATATTGAAATGAAAAATTATATAGATATGATCTTATTGCATCAAAAATAACACTTTAAAAAGAATAAAAAATTAATTTTTGAGAAAATCTTATTTTAGGCAGTAGAGGACTAAGGAGGGTTTTCCGCCGACTGAGTGTCACAAACAATACATGTTTTCTTTGAATTCATTTATAAACCATTTCAAATGTTAAATTTTCTGCCGATTCCAAAGACTAATGATATATTAGTTTGAATACTTTATAGGGAGACTGCTCTCACAGAGAAGAAATGTCATAACAGTGGAATGATGCGAGCCCTTCCATATGTTTTAAAATAACCGAGTAGACAACTCGAAGCTGACGGACAACTCGCGAGATTTCACGGGCTCTTTGGTAGACATGTTTTCGGCTGAAGTACTTCTTTTTAAAAGTTATTGCAATTTACTTTAAACGTTTTTAGTATCAAACCAACTCACTATTCTATTCATTACTTCGAGTTTCGCAGCATTCAGTGTCTATAGTTCATTGAGAAACAGAATTTCACATCTAACCGTCTCATTTTCACATCTCAATCCTGCTTCGCTTACAGGACAAACCCGTTAGCGTGCACAAGCTTTCCCCTTGATTCATATAATTCTACATAATGATGGATCCATCCTCAATTCCTCCGAAATTTTTCTGGTCACGAGCATGACTTAGCTGCCTGGTCTGTTCATAAAGGTGGTGATTATCTCAGCTGCTCCCTTGAAGCCTCCCTGATAGCATCGTTGAAGCTCCGAGTATGAACATCTTCAAAAACAGACTAGACGAAGCTATGCAGGAGCATATCTTCAGTCTTAAAATGCCTAGCAAATTACGGACCAGGCAATAAGTCCAAACGAAGCTATGCAGGAGCATATGTTCAGTCTTAAAATGCCTAGCAAATTACGGACCAGGCAATAAGTCCAAACGAAGCTATGCAGGAGCATATGTTCAGTCTTAAAATGCCTAACAAATTACGGATCAGGCAATAAGTAAGATCGGGTTCCAAAGGCCGGATCCCTTGTGAATCAAGTCACGAAAAGTTCAAGAATCGGCAACAGGCCATGGGCCTATTTCTTCAACGCCGACACTTCTATTCTATTCTTTTCAAAGCAAGTGTCAGGCGATTACTTTCATATCCATCAAGATTAGGCGTCAGGTAAAAATACTAAGGATCACTTTACTGTAACGCAGCATGGCCCGAGTTGTCTGTCGCATGAATATTTGTTCCTTCTCTAGTCGACTCACTTAGTGTTTTATTTTGTCATATACTTTGCAAAATAATTTTTTAAAGATTGTGCCTCTGTAAAATAAATTAATTTTTTTCTAAGCAATGTTTGTGTGAATTCTCATTCTTCGACAGTTTACCAGGTTATTGTATTCATATCACAAATGTCTAAAAGAATATTCCGGGAACGCGTGCATTTTGTTTAAATCCGTTTCATAAATTGCACATAGTTTGCTCGTTCCACAGCCATGTGATGCCTCGCTTCTTTGCTTTAAGATGGCAATTTTTCTGTGCAATATCTTTCTTTATTTCCGTGCTCTTCATGGAACAATGCGAAGTAACAAATCTTCGGAATATCGCAACATTTTGGAATTTTTCTATTATAAGCCCCAAGTCTCCTCCATTTTCTGAGGTGCTAGGCAAAAATTTTGACCTGCCAAATCATGTGGACAAAAATGAATTAGACGTGAAGATCTCCATGAAAGATCATTCAAATACAACAGAAAACCTAGATCTTGCAAGTTACCGCACGACGAGACAAGCTTCAAAGCTTTCCACCACAACAGCAATTGATGTCTCAGAGTCTCCTGAAACGCTACCTTGGTGGGAACGAGTCAACGTCACAGACTGTAACGAACTCAACAGCTTCAAGTACAAGAACGCGAGGAAATTTCTTCCAAGCACTCATAACATCAGTAATTTCAAGCCGATTATAGGCCACTGTGGATACAGAGCGTCACTCCTAGGCGACGATCAGAAAGTTATTTCTTACTCTGTTTACGGTAACGATTCAGACTACTTCTATGGGATATCGTTTATAATGGAAGATGCTAGAATACTGTATCCGGGTTGGAATATCCGCATTCACACACTCCCTAAAGAACACTACTCCTTTTTCTGTCCTCTGTTGATGAAGTATCCCAACTTGGCCTTGTGTGATGCTGAGAACCTGCCTGAGCCTCTGGGTGACGTGTCGATGTTGAACCCAATGCTGTGGCGCTCGTCACCCATGGGGGACCCGCAGGTCGAGCGGTTCATCGTCAGGGACTCGGACGCCAAGGTAAACGCTTATGTTTGTGATAAATTTATACATTGATATCAAAACATTTACCACATACTCATACATACCATGTTTCAATATTCACTGTTCAGAGTTTACACACCTAAACCGACACGTCCATCTTTTCTTCAGTTGAGTAAGAGAGAAGCGGCGGCCGTGGAGCAGTGGATATCATATCGGAAGCCGCTGCATTTATTGAGAGACCATCCCGCGCACACCGCACCCATCATGGGTGGCATGTTCGGCATCTGGCAACCTCCTCCAATGCTGAAAATATTTGAGAAAATTCGTCAACGCCTTTTTGTCCGAAACTTGAACGACGATCAATACAATTTAGCGGTGAGGCATATTTCAATATTTTTGATCATTATGAAATTAAAATACATGTCACCATCACTAATAGTAATCACCATAATCAGGCTCTATGTTCTGCTTGGCTAGACGGTTCCTCTTTTTTTTCTTTGCTGTAGGTAGCCAACATCAACTGGCTGACAAATCTGCTACACGTACAATATTATTTCATTTTGAAATTACTTATTTTATTGCATTTGAAGAGGGCAACCCTTGCCCGGAAGGTGTCCGACGACGGTGCCGAGACTGCTTCCACAGGATGATGGTTCTATTCGTATATGGTTCTGCAGAAAAATGTCAACCGGCGGTATTTAGTTCTGCTGACAAGGGCGACATGGTGTTCCTTGTGTTCTACATTTAGCAGCTGACGGTGCGGAGGTGGCTTGTGTTAACGCTGGCTAGGTTGTTGTTGATCTTAGTTTTGCCTGATGTAACCCAGGATATGGGCTTCAATTAATACCTCAACGTTGTTTGTGGTCCATTGAATCAAATTCCATGCTTGCTAAGTCAGTTTACCGATAGCAATATGATGCCAATATCATATTATTAAATTCGGTACTCTTTTGTTTTGGAACGGCTAAATTGAAGTTCGGTTGTTGATACGAGAAGTTTCTTTACGGACTTCATTCTAAAATTCTTCACTTATGATCATGGTGAGATTCTCTAAAAAAATAACGATTATCTTAATCTCTATGAAGCTGTACTTCTTACTCATTAGTTAAAAATTTGTGTACCGCAATCGTTCCATTTGTCCTCTGGCCTATTTTAATGCCTGAATTTGTGACGCATTTGTTATCTCAGCAAAGTTGTGTTTAATTGTAGACTTGTTTCAGAGCCAATTTTTATAATTCATTTTTTACGATCAGAGGGCGATGCCAGCAGGCCTCCTTCTGCATCACTCGGTACAGCACAGCAGCTATCAATGCCGGTTGCTGGGGAAAGCTTTACCCTTCCCGACCCAGCGGCAGGACGGCATCTTCGTCGGCAACGCGATGTAAGAACCTCCCATAGCTATAAGCATGGTTATAATAAGCAAGAATAAGCTTGCTTATAATAGAATAAGCAAGCACCTCCCATAGCATTAATTCAACCATGGCTATAAGGACCGATATGCTAGTGTTGCTAGCACAACTGGGCACCTGATAAAATCAATAGAATTTATTTAAAAATGTATCCAAATTATTTTCTTATGTTTAAAGCGACAAATCAAATCTTGGTCTGCATTCTAATTTATCTTATCCTATAGTGTTTTTTTCTATCGGTTAGAGAATTAATTGCCTGTTGCCCTTTTCACGTGAATAAGTTTACTGTTAAAAGAATTCGCAGAAAATTACTTTATGTGTTATGTGAATGTTTACAGTCAGCGACTAGATTCATATTTCAATGTAAGATTCGTCACAATTTTATATTCAATCCACCATTCAGAAACAATGTGGACCATCACGGACAATAAGTATTCTTCTTTTACAATGCTTTTGACTGCGTGATCAAACCTCATGCGAGTGTAGCTGAGAGAGGCATGTCTTTCCACCGTTATTGCAATTTACTTTAAACGTTATATACTGGAACAAACATGTAGGTCTGATTGTGTGACCTTAAATGACCTAACCCTGTTTCAATAATAATAACTTCTTTAATTATGATTTAGTTATATATTGTATCAAACATTTAGGTGTGATTGTGTGACCTTAAATTACCTAACCCTGTTTTAATCATATAACTTGTTTGATTATGATTTATTTCAGACCAATCCACAATTTCAGTACGAAAAGTTTCACTGTCGTGCAGGTACAAATCTCAGTACCGCAATGTCACATCCATCATGCCGAGATGCCCGGTGGCCTGTAGGCCTCCTGAACACCAGGACTGGCTGTACTGCTGACACGTTAATTCCTTCCAGATGTGCAACCATCAAAAATTCATCATATCAAAGGGGAAAATAAATTTCTCTTATCAAGATTTCGAGATGTGCAACTATCAAAAATTCATCATATAAAAGGGAAAAATAAGGTTCTCTTATCAAGATTTCGAGATGTGCAACTATCAAAAATTCATCATATCAAAGGGGAAAATAAATTTCTCTTATCAAGATTTTCGAGAGTGTACTTTGTCAAATCACTTGATAGGTATTGATGTTGAAGAAAAAAAAATACAATATTGAACTTTTTATACAGATCAGTAAACACGATTGTATGTATGGAAATTATCACCACAAATGCACGCTTCTTTTTTCTATTGAAATGAACCTATTTCAAATGAATTAAATTAAAATATTTTCTTGCAAACCATGGCATTTGTGTGATCCCTTTTGCATTCTTCTCAGCAATTCATTCAAAGTCGTAAGCTTAGTAATCCATGTCAAGTAAAAAATTAATTACTATCTCTGTCAAAATATTGGCGTAATCATAATTCAATAAAAATCTTTGCATTATATTAACCGTTACAATTTTTTGGAATGTTTAAATAGTAAATAAAATTCTGAAATGCATAAGCTGCCAAGAAAGAGAGAGAAGCTTTGCCGAATTGGAACTAAATTCTCCTATGTCCTGCATGGCTTCCACACGTCATTTGTTCAGTGTGCGACCTGAACATTCTATGTACCTTACCTATCCGGTTATTTGCAGTGCCTACTAGTTCTACAACCAAAGGCGGTTGTTTTGATCTTAACCACCAAATTTCAGAAATTATATTGTAATAAAGCAGGTTAAAGTTTTAACGGGCGTTGTTTAGACCGTTGGGTATCGAGTAGCCAGTTAATCAGTCATGCCCAAAAGTTCTCTCCTGTGGACTGTTTGAATCACTTAAGACAATTGTTTTGCGAACGATGTAATAAAAATATTCGAAACATTTTTTGAAGAAAGAAAGTGTATGAAGAATTCACAAGTATTTTATAAATGCTACGGACAGCAGCTTAGAATGTAGGGAAAATGTATTTGCTATTCTAAGCTCTCCAGCTCCAAAACAATTGCGCCGTTATCTTTTCCACAGAGTGCACGGCACATAACATAACATAGTGATGTCGGCGCTGAAGTGTAGGCCTGATGTGGCCTGTCGCCGATTCTTGATCTCTTCGTGACTTGTTGACAGAAGATCTAATATCGTGTCATTTGACCGGATCTTTTCATGACTGACGATAGTTTGAAGTAGCTACTAGACTTCCACCGGGTTCGATAAGGAGCTAGGCCTTTCTAAATCTGAACATATATTTTTCCATTGCTTTATCTAGTCTGTTCTTGAATGCGTTCATACTTGGAGCGCCAACATGACAACAATTTGCATGGCGCATGATGACAACGTTTACAACAATTTATTATTGAAAAGCCTGCCTAGGTATGCTAGCCGAGCCACGTGCTGATCGTCTCCCTGATTGCACAGCAAGGAGAAGCTTTAAGTGAGAAAGCTCATTGTCTTAAAGTGGGAAAGCTCATATATCAAAACTTCATTGCTACGCAATTAACTTTGAAGACATTGGCAACCTAAACCGGAAATCTTCGCATAGTATGACTCATAAGTTGCTTTCTGCAGGTAGACTGCCTGTGCTCACTGTGAACAACGAGACTGCAGAAGGCAAATGCTGGATTAACGCAGCGTGCGCTTGGCTCCTTTCACGCAAAGAAGAAATCAGATGTTTTACTAGTTTCCGCCATTCTTCATGCTGCATCAAACGTTACGTCAGCAAAAGAAAAGGAAGGCAGCTACGAACAGTGGCTACTGCAGAAGGCTAAAGTTTGAACAGTAGCAGTCGACAATTAATCCAGTTCGGAGAACCATAATCGAGGTTCTACCAACATGATTGACAAAATAAGCTTGAAAGTCATCGACGAATCTGAGTCAAGCCCAACTGAAAATGTGCTTATTCCTCACATACAAAGTCTTACTTCTCTCTTAAAAACCTGCAGAGCTATTCCATTCCAAGACTTGCTCCAGAAAACTCGTATGACCAAGCCGACACGAAGCCTACGTATCGCAATTGCTGGGGTGATTCATGGTTAATTTTAGCTTTAATGATAATACAAAAATTAAAAATTCGCAACCTGTGTGGCCTGCACCAAACTCTACGTTTCATAAACCAACTTTAACAAAACCATAAAAAGATTACGTTCGACCACAAATACGCTTCAATTGTTTCCCGATATGCGCAGAGTTTGTTTACGTTGAACATTAGAATAGAAAACGCTAGTCCCAAATCAAATTACACCGCTGAAACGAAGTTCTCAATGATGCATGGGAGGGCATTACAGGAGCCTAGCACAAAAGACACAAAAAATTGAGCAACTGACTTATAGAGTGAAGCCACTGACTTAAAGAGTGCGTGTAGGCCACGCTAGCTCACCTCAAAACGCTGAAATTCTCCATATAGATACATGCATAACGCCATAATATTGCACCTTATCAAAGTGCTAAAGTCTTCAAAGGACGATTATATTTCCACTGCACATCGTTTTCCTGTTATTTGTGTATTTAAAACTATCTGGAGAAAGTCTAACTACCTGTGAACCCTGAATTTCTGAAACAATCTTTACACCAGTGCGTTGCCCTATTGAGTAAATAATGAAGTTACTCCTACGACATTTTCTATGCTGGTAGGTTTTCTACAAAAAATTTCTGCGTTAACTGTGTTAAAAGCTTTGGTAATAAATTTACCAAGGCCAGGGCCCAGGGGTTGTAGTCTGCTAGCTATAAATCGAATATGCGAATGCGAACCTTCTATCAATCAATTATATCGTCATAATTTACCCTGAGAATATCATAAGTCTTACCAGCGCTCGAAGACAGAAACTGACTGTAGACACAGTTAATTTTTAGAGCACGAATTCTGACAATTTGTTTCAATTTTGGTAATCTAGTATTTACGCAATGACGTTTTGCAAATAAAAAGAGATAAGAACTTAAAAGACAGATATCTGGTTGCTATGCCAGTTGCTATGGCACTCACTCTCAATTATTTTACGACTGTGCGATAATTCGGCATGCAATTTTGTAGCATTTCTCCAATAATCAAATTTCTGATTGTTTTAAAGTGATACTTGCATAAATGTTCTACGTTGGCATCTTATGTATACAATATAATTGCGTCTTAGGGTAAAAATTTAATCTCTTGACTGCCACAAGCTGCATCATTCTATAACTATTTCGCTCTAGATGTTGTCAATCTCTTAGATGTTGTCAGTCTGAATTTTGTTAACAGCTTTGGGCTCAGGCCCAGTGGTTAAAGTTCAGAGTACCAAGATTGGCGCAGAGAGGCGCGGGTTCGATCCCAGCTCTGTGCGCCAGTTTCTGGTCAGAATCGGCAAGGAGGCCGGGCGGTTAAGCATAGCAGAATTGTTGCAGTGAGTTGCGAGTTCGAGACCGCAAAATGCTGTGAATGTTCTGCGATGTTAAGAATCGGCAGTTCTATACTAACTAGGTATATCCCCCTATTAATACCTTAGATGTTGTCTGTCTGAATTTTGTTATCCAGTTTGTGCTTAGGCTTAGCCAGTCAAAATTTTCAATAAATATTAAACGCCTACCTGATTGCTTAACTTGATTTAACATGTTTTACATAATAATTTTTACGTGAATTTTGGATATCGTTATATAATCTTTCAGCTAGTATTTTTCCTGTGTGTGTTCCTTCGCTAAAAATGAAAAAAAATATAGATCTCGCTGTCGTAATCCGTCAGTCATTATCCTTCGAAAGGGTACAAAATCTAGTGTTTTTTTTTCAAAGTAGTTACCACCTTAACGCCATACACGATTGGCATTATGTCATATTGACTACTTCTCTGGTGGAAGCTCAGACACAAATTGTCATCATATGCCACAAAGACGTAAAAAGTCCACTTGAAGATATTAGAGTGCAAAACTTGCTGTAAATTAATGTAACTTTCACTAAAGTAGGAGTTGGTCGATCGGTAGTACCTATAATAATCTAAATAACAAATTTAGCATTTAGTATACAGTAATGTCTAATCCAATGAATGATGCTGATCATATAGTGTATATTTTTATCTTAATAATATATTTGAAAAGTATTTGTGCATTAGGAATAGACTGAAATCGGAAAATACGCACGTTGGATTTTGAACACGGAGCATTCTACTACGTAAATACTATGAAAAGAATCGCATGAATAATAACTCGCTTGAATGTCAAAAAAGTGTATGCCAAAATATCGATATCCCTCCCCCACAAGCTGTGTTATCAAAGTGATTCTTCATAACAACGTCATTGAAGCCAATCAGCTTGAAGCATCTAAAGATATACCTCGAGCTGGAATTACAACTTGCCTCGTATGTCTTACGGTCAGCACGCCTCCTTCATATCACACCCTCTCCCTACATTCACATGTCTTACAGTCAGCACGCCTCCTTCATATCACACCCTCTCCCTACATTCACATGTCTTACAGTCAGCTCGCCTCCTTCATATCATACCCTCTCCCTACATTCACATGTCTTACAGCTGTCTCTTATACACATCTAGATGTGTATAAGAGACAGANGTGAGTGGCATGCTTGGTGAGTGTAGTGGTGAGTGGCATGCTTGGTGAGTGTAGTGGTGAGTGGCATGCTTGGTGAGTGTAGTGGTGAGTGGCATGCTTGGTGAGTGTAGTGGTGAGTGGCATGCTTGGTGAGTGTAGTGGTGAGTGGCATGCTTGGTGAGTGTAGTGGTGAGTGGCATGCTTGGTGAGTGTAGTGGTGAGTGGCATGCTTGGTGAGTGTAGTGGTGAGTGGCATGCTTGGTGAGTGTAGTGGTGAGTGGCATGCTTGGTGACAAAAACGCGATATGCTGGACACTGTAACAATCTGTAATTTCTCATAACATGGCATGTAATGAGAAATTAGTAGTAGTTAGTATGGCATGGTATAAACTGTGTAGTATATTGAAGTACGGGAAAAAAAACTTTAATTTTTTAAAACATAACCATAACCATATTGATTCTCAACACAGTATCAGCAATTCATCTCCTGATGAATATTGAAAACATGACTTCATTCATCAGTGCCTGAAGGTGCTTAAATGTTTTCAAAATGATCAGTTATTATGAAGTTTCAAAATTCATGGGGCACATACCACAGGGAAAGTTCCGGCGTATATAAAGGCGGTGAAGATTGCAATTATGCTAACTAAAGAATGATTCTTAAATCTCTCCTCCCATCATACCATGATATCAAATTCAATAATCCGTTCACTATGCCAAATATAATAATGTAAATATTATAAAGTTTTCTATTTAAACTTTAAGTTTGA